TGAATGTACTGACAGTCTGTAGTCTACGAGCACAAATTTGTCAGTAAAGCAGGTACTTGGCAGCTAGAACTGTACAAACAGTACTGCGCGTGTACATCAGAACAACATGACATGACTTGTACTTTGAACGGCGTTCAGATCAAATGCATGCACGGCAATGTATAAGTGCACATGACTTGTGACGTCTCAAGCTGAGATAAAAAACCTCCTTGTCAAAACACCCCTTACATGCCATCGACAGGCTAGTAGTGACAGCAGTGTGGTCATGTATATAAAGTCATTGTACATGTAGCTGTGCAAGACACGACTGTCGACTGTGATGGGTGGTACGTGTCACCTCACGTCTACTGCACTGCAGTCTGGACTCCTCAGTGTTGCTCAACTTGCAGAATCCGGACCGTGTTCTGTATACAACATTAGTTCGGGAGCTGAAATCTGTGCGATGGCGCTTCCCACTGGGGTATGCCAGTTCCGAGGGAAGACTTGAATCTTCGCACAAAGGAAGCTGACGGCATCTAGAGAGAGATTTAGGAACTTGGCCGTCACGATGCTGTGCGCTAACATGGTTGCGACGGGGTTTGTTCTCTCGTCGAACCCCTATATCGTTCCGTGGTTTCACAATTGTTGCACCGGAGGACAGGACTGGTGTTCCTTAGATTGTCGTGCGTACACGAACTGGCTAAGTGATTTTGCCATTTGACCTTGCTGATGACAGGCAGGTGCCGGAGAAACTGCCCGTCTCCATCGAGGTGCCTCTGGATTGTGTTTTTTAACCAATAGTGTTTTGTAGATTAATCATCACTACAAACAATTTCATGCTAGTCAATGAGCGGCCGGAAAGTGTGTATTGAAGGTGGTAAGGTACACATCATGGCGGCTGTCTGGCACTATCAGTGTTCCTTGTGCCAACCGTTGATTATAACCCATACATGTACATGTGGAAATGAACGTAGAAACACATGACATATTTTTGAATAACGTCTTTTGGGTTATTCCTTTGTTGTTGTGTGGCATGCTGCACAATGACATGCATAAATCGAAGTAGTCACTTGTACATTGCAGTACATCATGGGATGATTATTACCCCTACAGTACTTCAGTCAATCGTTTGTGTGCTGGATTGAGTACTGGTATGTCAAGGTTTTAGCAATTTCCGCGAAGGAAATTACATGTAAATGTAACGGTAGCACATACATGTTATATACTGCAGTTAGGCGCAAAATGAACGACTGTACTCAGTAGTAAGGAAATCCCAAACAAAAATCTAACACACATCTAGTTTCGTGCTAACGCCACACTAACTAAAGTCTCAATGGAACTAATCTATATCGCTCTCGCTTACCTTGCTCTTACCGAGACGTGCGTCGTAAATCTGCGAAGATAGAGGATCCCTTTCACGCTGTCCCAAACAGCAGAACTATCTCATAATCCTGAGCGTACACCTAGTCAACTGAGATTATGAAGCAAATTATTGTCCCATCCTTTTTGAGACGGAAACGAGACACAAGCCTTTACCAATGTCGATTATGATACTGAACAGGACACCTGACTAATAATGAGAATGTGGCGTAATGCACATGATTGTAATCGTTCCGAGATCGAGATGTAGGCACATTATGCGGGCATGGTGGATCCGTCCACAAGGCCAATGCAGCATGCTGCAGGAGAGCGGTACTGCTGATCAACATGTGTAGATGGGCAGGTGTAGTGGCTTTTGTTTACGTGGTTTGGTTGCCACCATGGCATGTCAGGGATGATTGACAGTTCCAACTGCTTGGCGCATGTACATGTATGCAACTGTCCAGGGCGCGAGGCTAGCTGCTCCTCAACATTGTTTCTTGTAGTAGTCCGCTTGTTTTTGATTTCTTGGGTTGGTATTGTTTCTCTGTGAATATATTGCCTTTCACGACCGGAGTGTTCATTTGGGCTCGCACTCAGTGTGTTTCAAGCATGGACTAAGGCGGAAATATGTATTTAGCTGAGGGAGAGCTGCTATTGACAGTCTCGTCTAGTAAAAATCCTATGCACCTTGAAGTGGGAAAGTGCGTAGTAGCCCCGCTAGTTCATTCAAAATGAGCTACTATGCATGTACATGTAGACCCAAATCAAAGTCAAAAGAGTCGTTCCCGGAGGTGGACAACAAGGCACCCAGCGTGTGGGAGCGATGCGTCCAGTGCTCTACAGTCCATTCATCGGAAACAGTCCAGCAGGGTTTTTGAAAGTCCGATTTGGGCCGAATTGAGGATAAGTAAACACTTCAAACCTCTTAGTATCTGGGTTCGGGATCTGCTTCTCCATACATTTTGCCATTGCATACCTGTACTATTTTTGTTAAACCTGCCTGGGTTTCTACTTGTCCTTGTTCTTGGACTTCTCTGGCCTTGGATGTGGCAAGGAATAATTGCATGGGTCACAAAATGTAGGATGTGTTGTTGACTGAGTTTGTTTTTCACCATATCTGCAACTACAGACTTTTACAGGTATATGTACATGACTGTAC